TCGAGGCTGCGGTGGCCGGGAGCGGCCACTGCACTCCACTCTGGGTGACAGAGTGAGACTTCAGCTCAAAAAAAAAAATTTCCGGTTAGGTGATGTGGCTCATATCTGTAATCCCAGCACTTTGGGAAACAGAGGTGAGAGGATTGCTTTAGTCCAGGGATCCCAGACCAGCCTGGACAACTTGGCGTAGACCTTGTCTCTACAATAAATCAAAAAATTAGCCAGGTGTGGTGGTACATACCTATAGTTCCAGCTACTTTGAAGCCTGTAGTGGAAGGATCACCTGAGCCCAGCAGGTTGAGGCTGCGGTGGTTGTGAGCATGCCACTCTACTCCAGCCTAGGCAACAGAGTGAGACTCCAACTCAAAAAATAATTCCATATGCTTTTCCTTTGTAACGTCTATTTTGGCCCAGTTGGAAACAACATATGTATGTTATCTGTCCAGATCTACCCATATGAGCACCTAGAATGTGTAGGTTTTCTTCAACAACTGTTCCCTTGAAGAATCTTCAAGTGATAGGTGTCCATCTTACTATTTTTAATCAGTTATGTGGTTTTAAGTCATTTTATGAGATCACTGAAAACAGTCTGCCTTTTGCAGCCCCACCTTTCTGAAGACGAGAGCGACTGCTCATAGCTGTTTGTCTTGTATATAATGTGCCTTCTTTCTAAATAATCTTTTTTAAAAAAATTGTAAATTTACATAACTTAAAATCCTCCATTTAAAAGTGAACAACTCAGTGGCATTAAATCATTCATAATATTGTGCAGTCTCCACCTCTGTCTAGTTCAAGACATTTTCATCACTCCAAAGCAAAACTCTTCTGAGCAGTGATAACTGTTGTTTACCCAAACCATAGCAACCACCAATCTACTTTCTGTTTTTATGGATTTGCCTATTCTAGATATTTCATAGGAAAGGAATTACACAGTATGTGACCTTTTGTGTTGGGTAGTCTTTCATGTAGCATAATCTTTTTGAGGTTCATTAATATTGTAGCATAGTGGCTCAGCCTGTAATCCCAGTGGTTTGGAGGCCGAGGCGGGTGGATTGCCTGAGCCTGTGGGTTCAAGACCCGCCTGGGCAGCTTGACGAAACCTTATCTCTACAATACATAAAAAATTAGCCGGGCATGGTAGCATGCGCCTGTAGTTCCGGCTACTTGGAAAGCTGAGGCAGAAGGATCACCGGGGCCCAGCAGGGCAAGACTGTGGTGGCTGGGAGCGGCCACTGCACTCCAGTCTGGGCAACAGAGTGAGACTCCAACTAAAAAAAAAAATTAAAAAGAAATGCCACCTTGAAGGTTACTGCACTGCAATGTACACCTCCAGCACAGGCCTTCCTTGAAGCCCAGACTTGTATATGCGTCTTCCTCTCCCACACCCCCTCTTGGGTCTCTAGCACACACCTGAGCCTTGTGTGTGTGTGTGTGTGTGTGTGTGTGTGTGTGTATTGTTTTTAGTAGGAGTCTCTCCGTCACCCAGGTTGAAGTGCAGTGACACGCTCACAGCCACCCCAGTGTCAACCCTGCTGGGCTCCAGCAATCCTTCCACCTCAGCCTTCCAAGTAGCTGGAACTACAGGTGCACATACCACATCCGGCTAATTTTTGATTTATTGTAGAGATGAGGTCTTGCAAAGTTGCCCCAGCTGGTCTCAAACCCACTGGCTCAAGCAATTCACTCACCTCGGCCTCCCAAAGTGCTGGGATTACAGGCTGAGCCACCAAGCACGACCACTTTGTATATTTCAACTGCACTTGATTTCTGCAGCCCAAACCTGCTATTTCCCAGACATCTCCATTTAGTAAATGACAACTTAATTGACCTTTGGGCTGAAAACCTGAGTCTTCCTTGCCTTTTTACCTCTTAGCACCTCATGTCCAGTTTATCACCAAGTCCTCTTGGTTCTACCATCACGGTGAGCCCCAAATTTCACCACTTACGTCTCCACTACAACCGCCCCAGTCAAGTCACCTCTTACTCTCGCTCCTGGAAGAGGCTGTTCTTTTTCTACCCTACTCCTACTAGGGTCTTTATACCCAGCATCCTGAGTGAGTTTTTATTTGGTTTTGTTTCCCTTGAGTTGAAGTCTCACTCTGTTGCCCAGGTTGGAGTACAGTGGCACAATCACAGCTCACCACAGCCATGACCTCCTTGGTTTAGGCCATCCTTCTGCCTCAGTCTCCCGAGTACCTGGGACTATAGGGATATGCCATTACACCTGGCTTATTTTTTAACTTTTTGTAGAGATGAGGTTTTGCTATGTTGCTCAGGGTGGTGGTGAACTGGGCTCAAGCAGTCCTCCCACCTCAGCTTCCCAAAGTGCTGGGATTACAGGCCCTAAGTAATCTTTTAAAAATTTTGTGAGGCCAGGCGCAGTGGCTCAAGCCTGCAGTTCCAGCACTTTGGGATGCTGAGGCTAGAGGATTGCCTGAGCCCAGGGGTCCAGAACAGCCTGGGCAACTTGGTGAGACCTTGACTCTACAATATATCAAAAAATTAGCCAGGCGTGGAGGCACGCACCTGTAATTCTAGCTACTTGTAAGGCTGAGGCAGAAGGATTGCCGAAGCCCAGCAGGTTGATGGTGTAGTGGCCATGAGCATGCCACTGCACTCCCGCCTGGGCGACAGAGTGAGCGTCTGACTCAAAAATAATAATTTTGTGTCCCATATGCTCAGAAAGCTCCAGTGGCTTCCTATCTCTGTCCAAATAAAATCTTAAATCCTCATCTTCCAAGGGGAGACCCAGGATCCTGGCAGGAAACAGATGGGTAACACACTCAAGTTTAGCGATTTGAAGAGAGTTTATTAAAGGCACTCTACGGCTGGGCTCAGTGGCTCAGCCTGTAATCCCAGCACTTTGGGAAGCCGAGACGAGTGGATTGCTTGAGCCCACGGGTTCGAGACCAGACCAGGCAAAAAGCCTCATCTCTACAATAAATCAAAAAATTAGCTGGGTGTGGTGGCGCACACCTATAGTTCCATCTACTTGGAAGGCTGAGCCCAGCAGGTTGAGGCTACGGTGGCCATGAGTGTGTCACTGCAACCCATCCTGGATGACAGTGAGAATCCTCAAAAGTAAATAAAGGCACTCTACAAAGGATGAGGAGGGTTTAGGGAAACCACGAGGCGTGCTGCATGCAGTTCCCTGGAGCTCACAATGATCGGCCCTGGGCGGGGAGATTGTGGAGGCTGAGCTGGGAGACTGGAGGCCCAGAGCCGGTGAGGGCCACGTGACCCAAGCAGCGACCCTCAGGGAAGACTCAGAAGAGTGGTTTCTTGCAAGTGCCTCCCATTGGCCAAATCTCATGGGAAGTCAGAGGTCAAGGCAGCTTAGTGCTGTCCGTCAGTGGCCTCCAGGCAACAGAGCAAGGTGGAACGCAGTCCGGGAGGGACAGAAGGGAAGAATTCAGCATGGAGGCCTCAGACCCGGCCTCATCCAGCACTTCTCTGCTTTTCTCTCCTGCCGCCTGGCCTGGGCACCTTAGTCCTGCCCGTGCCCTGGTTAAGCCCCCTGCCCGAAAGGCTCTTGCCACGGATGTCCACATGGCTCGCTCCGTCAGTTAGGACTCTGTTCAGAGAGGGTCTCCCTAACACCCTCTCTAAAAACCACCCTCCCTCCCAGCACTCTGTCCCCCAATCCTGCTATTTGTCTTCAGAGTACTTACCACCACCTGATGTGATATATATATGTCTTTTTGGTTTTTTTTT